TAAAATTGCAGATAGTATAGATACTAATACTCCCCCCTGTGAGATTGGGGAGTATTGTCAATATTTTCGTACTCACTCCACATTTGAAGTACCATTTGTACAGATAAGAATCCCATTGGTTACATGATCTCTTCTTCATATAGATACATATATGATCTATGGAGCAGTAAGTTAGACATACGCTTTGTGGATTACTATACAGAAAAAGTTTGGAGGAGTGCTAGACAACATGCAGAACGAAGAGGTTGGCTATCCTGCAGTATAGTGTGTGAATGCTTGTGGATTAGTTCATATTCAATTCGTTTGTATGGTAATTCTATGATGAGGTTGAATAGCGGGTATGGTTCTTATGCCATTTGGAAAATGCTTGACAGAATGCTTGTTAACCATGCTTGGGATGCAATTTTTCATATTGCTTATTCATAATTAGGCTAGAAAGTACTACTTCTGACCATTCTCTGATCTGATGCACATAACTTGTGCTTAGATCAACTGGGAGTTCTACAAATCCATTGCAGTTTATAATTGCTGGAAATGATTATGAAGGCTTTCTGGATTCGGTTGAGAAGGTTCAAGAAAATAATATGTTTGTCTTCTTATACAAACAGAAAATTTTATGGAATGTATTGAGCGAATGGAATAGAACAGGAGGAGCTGGAAATTGGAATATAATAGGGTGCAAGAATTTGAGATAAAGTTAGAGGAAGATCCAACAAAGGTAAATGGCCTTTACTAAAAGCAACCCCAGATTGAAGAGGATTACTAAGTGAAGACAAATGAAGAGAATAGAACTACATGCTTTACACATCCCAAAGGCAGGTATAGACGTTTTTTTCGTGAACAGAAATTCTTTCATGGCTATTGAACAGAAGATAAAAACAGCAGTAAAAACCTTAGGTCTTGGTTGGACTGACTTTTGGTGCTTCATGCTCAAAATACATATGGAAGTGACTTATTTAAAGTGCCCCACGAGGCTAAGTCAAGCTATATGTTACTGAGAAAATTCTGGAAGGCAAAACCATGTGCACCAGAGTTGTATGGGGCCGCTTAGTTTCAATCACATAAGAATGAGGAATCACTTGTGTATGTTTCTCATTCATAGGATTGATTCAAACCAAAAGGCTGAGATATTGTGCAGCTGAATGTGACTATGGTCTTGTTTGGTAAAATAGTTAGTCTATAGGTCAATTTTGGCTTATTTGATCACTATTAGTTGTTTGATTTGGTTTAAAAATCAATATAAGTGATTGGTTAATTAGCTCTTTGTACTCCAAAATGCTAAAATTCAAAAAGCTACTCAAAGCAACTTTTTCAATTAACTTTTTGATAAAAAAAATTATACTAAACAGTTATTAACTAACAGCTAATTTACCAAACACCTTTCTACAATCAGCTAATGTTATCAACTACTTAAGCCATCTTATGTATTCAATATCATTGTAGCTTGTGGGGACTTGTGTTATTAGAAAAGCCTTTGCTTTATCTACAAACTTGTGTTTAAAAATTCTTGATGTTTTCTCAAAGACAAAACCATGTGATAATGTTGTCTTATCATGCTAGCTGGCTACCATACCCGGGCCCTTAGCCACTCAATCCACTTCCCAAAAGATCTATATAAACACAATTGAGTTAGTATTCACCCAACTCAAATATTTCCTTCACAGCTACCTTAGTTTCTGCATTCTTAAATTGTTTCTATATATAGCATCTTTGATTAACACTCCCACTGGTTTAAGAAGAAACATCCCAGAATGGCGATCAGTATGACTCGCATTCTCCGTGCTAAGCAGGGCCTCAGAAGGTCTTCTTCAAGAACAAACAGAGAAAATGAGGTTCCTAAGGGGCACTTTGCAGTTTATGTGGGCGAAAGCGAAAAGAAGCGCTTTGTCATTCCAGTTTCGTACTTGAAGGACCCTTCATTCCAAGACTTGCTTAGTCAAGCTGAGGAAGAATTCGGATTTGATCATCCAACGGGTGGACTCACAATACCTTGTATGGAGGATACCTTTCTTGAAGTCATCTCTAGTTTGAGATCTTGAGAGACTACAGACAACTTAGTTTAGTGAAGAAAATTTTTGCATAGAAGAGTTTTACTGTACAGTTCATTTGTAAAATTTTTATCTGCATTTTTGCAGCAACTTTGAAAATATCAGAAATGCTGTCCAATTTTCACCAAAACGTATTCCAAATTGTTGCTTTGATAAATATACTTTGAGTAAAACAGAAGATTAAGGAGAATATGAAAGCAATGAATATATTTGAACTTTCTAAGAAGAATACTGAACATATTGGTAAACAAATTTTCAATTTCAGTTTTCGAAAACAGAGAATAGAAAACAGAGAATGAAAGTAAACAGGCCCCTAATCTCTAGGCTTCGTAATATGTAAGAATTCCATATTTGAATATTCCTTAACAAACATCAACTATTCAAATATTTCATTGCCAACTTGATAACAGTGCAACTCCGGTTGCTTCAGGCTCCCGTCCAATTGGTTCAAACAATATTCATCCTCAAGGTCAGACTAAAATGGCACTGTTGCCGCAGATGGTAAGCACTACTATGACTTGCAATCTCATTATATGGTTCAAATTACATCTGGCATAGCAGTGCTACTATGCAAGTCCAAAAATGGAAGTGGCAAAATTGTATTGCTACAAATTCAATTATGCAATTATATAGTTTAGTGCTTTTTGATAAGAATTGAATAAAATTAATGCAAATAAGCACTTGTTACAGAAAATATGTCAACTAGGTGTATTGCAGCAAACTGAAGATTAAGAAGAATATTATAGCAAATGAATATATTTGAATTTTCTAAGAAGAATACTGAACATATTGGATATCAATTAAGTATTGCTGTATTGGTTTTTTGTACATTTAACATTATGAATTGAGCTACAACTAATATCCGCATTTACAAAATTTATTGAGATTAATATCAGCAAACTAGCAATTCTTGATTTCTCCACCCTTCTTGTTGTAGTGGAGCTGATGAACACCGATGTGAAGTAATTGAGACGAGCAATGCATTCTCGAGTTCTCTGGATAAGCCTCGACTAAGAAATGAAATGATGTAGTCCATGAAGACTGCATCACATGGTAGTGTAATAGGCCCATCGCTTGGAAGTCCAAATTCTTCTTCTGACATGTTTAAGAGTTGCCTAATAATCTCATTCTCGAGATAAGATAGAGGGACAACAAATCGCTTCTGATCAGCCGTGTAGATAGCAAAGTGACCCCTGTTAACTGGAGTGGAAGTACTGCAGCTATCTGTATCATCACTTTGTCTTGAAAAGGAAATCCTCTTTCTTCGGATGGCAGCAAATTTCTGCCATCTTTTGGCGAGCTTGATGAGCTTCTTGGAGCTGATCATGGTAATAACTTAGAAAATATAGAGATATTGAATGAAAGAGAATAAGATGTGTAGAAAGTTGTTGTTTGATGATCAAAATTGAGATGAGAAGCAACCTATTTAAAGCGGTTCGATTTCTTGAGGAAATCAGGCAAGACAAAACCATGTTACCCAGCTGTATGGGGCCTTTTAAGACATACAAATAGGGAAACACATGATTATGTGTCCCAATTTTCACATAAATTCAAATAAATTGATTAAGCTATTTTTTGGGCAAATACCATTAACTTTGTGCTGTGTATATTGATCTCTCATTTGGTAGGTTTTCTTGGAGTGACAAAGGTAGTTGAGCTTTCCCCGTTGTTCAAATTTATTGAAGCATATGTTGAGTGATGTCCAAAGGTGGTCTTCATCTACAATATTGATGATTTTTGGAAGACAAAACCATGTGGTGATGTTGTCTAATCGTTCTAGCTGGCAGGCTGGCTTGCCTGTGATCCAAATTTCACATAGCCATTCAATCCATGTCCTAAAGGATCTATATATATAAATGCATTTGAGTTGATGTACACCCCAGTACCCCACTCAAGTTCTTCCTTAACACAAATCCTAGTTTCTGCCTACTCAAATTGTCTATAGTGAAAAAAATTTCAGAAATCCTACTTTCCAAAAAACATATTTCAGCATGGCAATTGGTATGGGGCATATTTTCCGTGCTAAGCAAGGCCTCAGGAGATCTTCTTCAAGAACAAACAGAGAATGTGAAGTGCCTAAGGGGCACTTTGCAGTTTATGTTGGGGAGAGTGAAAAGAGGCGTTTTGTCATTCCAGTTTCGTACTTGAAGGACCCTTCATTCCAAGACTTGTTGTGTCAAGCTGAGGAAGAATTCGGATTTGATCATCCAATGGGCGCACTCACAATACCTTGTATGGAGGATACCTTTCTTGACATTATCTCTAGTTTGAGGAGATCTTGAGAAACTACAGACAACTTAGTTTAGTGAAGAAAATTTTTGCATAGAAGACTTTTCCTGTATAGATTTTTGTTTGCATTTTTGCAGCAACTTTAAAAATATCAGAAATGCTATCCAATTTTCACCAAATCCAACTTAGTTAAGCAATAACAGTTTGCAATTAAGTTAAGAATAATCTTGAGAACAGTCTATAATTTAGTGTCCCTTGCTAACTGCAGAGGATTTACCACAACTATTCACAGTCCTTGTTTCTTAAAAATGAAATCTTCTTCCCTTAGATAGCAACAAATATCTTCCATTATATTCATCTTTGCAGATTTACTCAAATATCACACAAAGGTGCCAGATTAGTATATTGGACATAAGAAATGAAAGAAAATGGAGGGAGTGTGTATAGAATTTGTGGGTATTCAATCAGTAATTCTGTAATGGGACTATTGCAGCTGATGGTCAGAACTGTTCAAAATTGAGATAACAAACTGACCATATTGCTTTCTCATCATATGCTTCAAATTACATCTGCCTTCTCGTTATTACAAATTCAATTAGGCAATTATATAGTTTAATGCTTTTGAATGAAATTAATGCAAATAAGCACTTGTCACAGGTATAACTGTATTCCAACAAACTGAAGATTAAGGAGACTATGAAAGCAATGAATATATTTGAATTTTCTAAGAGGAATACTGAAGATTTTGGATATCAAGTATTGGTGTATTGGATTTATGTACATTTCACATCATGTATTGAGCTACAACTAATTAATATCCTCATTTACAAAATTTATTGAGATTAATATCAGCAAACTAGCAATTCCTGATTTCGGTGTAACGGAGCTGATGAACACCGATGTGAAGTAACTGAGACGAGCAATGCATTCTCGAGTTCTATGGATAAACCTTGGCTAAGAAGTGAAATGATGTAGTCCATGAAGACTGCATCACATGGTAGTGTAATAGGCCCATCGCTTGGAAGTCCAAATTCTTCTTCAGACATACTTAAGAGTTGCCTAATGATTTCATTCTCAAGATATGATAGAGGGACAACAAACCGCTTCTGATCAGCAGTGTAGAGCGTGAAATGACCCTTGTGAACTGCAGAAGAAGTACTGCAGCTATCTGCATCATCATATAGACTTGGAAATGAAATCCTCTTTCTTCGGATGGCAGCAAATTTCTGCCATTTTTTGGCCAGCTTAATGAGCCTCTTTGAACTGATCATGATATTAACTTAGAAAATAGAGAGAAAGGTTGAATGGAAGAGAATAAGATTTGTAAAATTGGGTAGAATGAATTGCAGTGTTTGATGATTGAAATGCATATGGAAGTGATGTATTTAAAGTGATGAGGAGGCTAAGACAGTCTTTAAGCTGTTGAGGAGGCAAAACCACATGGTTATGCTGCCTAGCTAGTTGTATGGGGCCTTTTTGCTTCAACCACAAATATATGCAATATGGAGACATAAAAAAATGAGGAATCACATGGTTTTGTTTTCAAATCATCTCTTTATTTGATTCAAGACTTGCTGCTTGCTCTCCTCATCTCTTATGTGACAGATCGAGTTTCTTGAAAAGACAGAAGTAGATAAGCTATCCCCATCTACTCAATTTCAGAAGTAGACTGATATTTTTCGTTTAAGTTGTTAGTTGAAAATTCTTGATGATTTTGTAAGACAAAAACATGTGGTTATGTCTGTTATCTTGTTAGGTGGCTGCCCACCCATCCAAATTTCTCTTAGCCACTCAATCCACCTCCCAATGGATCTATATAAACACATTTGAGTTAGTATATATTCACCATTCTCAAACATTCCTTGCACAAATACCTTAGTTTCTGCAGTCTAAAATTGTTTCTATACCATCTTTGATTTACACTGCCTCTGCTTTAAAAAGAAGCATTCCAGAATGGCAATTAGTATGATACACATTCTCCATGCTAACAAGGGTCTCAGAAGGTCTTCTTCAAGAACAAACAGAGAAATCGAGGTTCCTAAGGGGCACTTTGCAGTTTATGTGGGCGAAAGTGAAAAGAAGCGCTTTGTTATTCCAATATCATACTTGAAGGACCCTTCATTCCAAGACTTGCTAAGTCAAGCTGAAGAAGAATTTGGATTTGATCATCAAATGGGTGGGCTCACAATACCTTGCCCAGAGGATACCTTTCTTGACATCATCTCTAGTTCTAGTAGATCTTGAGACTCTACAAGCAGCTTAGTTTAGTGGAGAAAAATTTTGCACAAAAGAGTTTCTATGTACACTTACTTTTTTTTTTTTTTTTTTTTTCCTTTTTAGTTGTCTCATATCAGATTGGGATTTGTAAATCTTGAGAAATTACAAACAGTTCAGCTTTAGTGGAAAAACAAATTTTGCACACAAGTTTTCTTGTACAGTTTTTACTTCTACTTCCATTGTGTCTTGTGATCAGATTGGCAAAATATGCAGAGATTTAATACTGCTTTTGGTGCACATTGTGGATGAGATTATGCTGAACTATCAGTTGATATTGGTGTATTAACTAAGCTGCTGATTTCTTGATCTACTCAATAAAGATTTTACACAATTACATGCAGAAAGAATATCCAACAAGTTTGATGGAGACACTAAGACAAGCTGAGGTGAATTGATAACCCAACGGGGTAGCTTAAGTGACAAATGAACTCTTTTTGTGGGGGAGAATTCTGGGATAGGTTCGTTTTCTTGTGATGATTCCCTTTGGGTCAGCTCCCGTACCTTCCGAAACGAACGAGGATTAGTTGGGCGGACCTGAACCTTTAAACGGCTCAGAAAGACCCAGATCATCCCGTGGTTTACACAAAAAAATGGCTTCTGATGTATGCACTCTTAATTATTTTGAATCTTTTGAACTTAGAAAATGCAAATTAAATCCAAAAAATTGATAAAGAAATTTGGTGTTGGTGAATAGCAGAAGTATGTTAACCTCATAGAACAAGTATGGGAGACAAAGAAGAATACTAGATTAGGAGTGCAGTAGATGTAAGTTTTGTTAGATATATTTTTTTTCTTTTTCGCAAGTTGTAACTTTCTTACTTGTTAGATAACTAACTGCGTAAAATGCCAGTTGGGAAAAACCCTTCCAACACATGAGTTTACATAGTTTATAGGTTTTAAGCTTTATAAATAAGTGGATTCGTGGTGTAATGGTAGTGCATTTGACTCCAAATCAAAAAGTTGTGTGTTTTATTCATGTCGAGATCAATTCCCTCTCCCATCACATATGAGTTATATAGCTATATGAGAATATATCCGTCTTGGAAGGTGAGAAACCAGCAGAAACCAGAAAATCATGCAAACGAGTGAACCAAGCACCTTAAGCCCATATAAAGAACGTTGAAGGAGACAAACGTGCCCGGGTATCGTTTTGTCTTCATAACCAGGGGGCTGGCGCATATAAACCGTCTCAGCGAGATTGCCATTTAGAAAAGCATTGAGTATGTCCAACTGTCGAATAGTCCATCCACGAGAAATAGCTAAGGATAAAAGAAGACGTACCGTAGTCGGTTAAACAACGGGACTAAAGGTCTCAAAGAAATCCTCGCCGGAAATTTGATTGAATCCCTTGGCAACTAACCGAGCCTTGTAACGCTCAATCGAACCATTAGCCTTTCTCTTGGTTCTAAACACCCACTTACATCCAACTACATTCACACCTGATTTAAAGGGAACAAGCCTCCATGTATTGTTGTGCACCAAGGCATTAAATTCCAAATCTATTGTCCCGCCATTCAGGAAATTTAACCGCTTGAGTAAAACATGTAGGTTCAGGAGTAACAGCAGCAGCAGATAAAGCAACATGATCATGTGATCCCGAACTTCTCGTATTCATTCCATGAGAGCGAACGGGTGATGGCGCGTGACGAGACCGACCACGAGGCCGGCCTCTTGGCCGAGGAGCCGGCTGGTCCGTGACTGTCCGCTCGGACTCGGTCATGGGCTCGGCAGTAGCAAGCTGCTGGCGGTGGTGGTCAAAAGCGGCTATGGGCGCGGCAGGAGGGTCACGAGCCGTGACAATAGTCGGATCACCACCAGAAACAATTGGTGCAACACCCCATGGCTCCGGGCGTGGTTTTGGAACCTGCGAATCCACAGAAGCAACAAAAGGAAAGACAGCCTCATCGAATCGCACATGGCGACAGATAAAAACCTTGTTAGTGTTAGTGTCTAAACAACGATAGCCACGAAAAGATGGAGGATATCCTAGAAAGACACAAGGGGATGACCGAAGCTGTAGTTTGTTGCGATTATAGGGACGCAGTTTTGGAAAGCATAAACACCCAAAAACACGCAGATATGAATAAGATGGAGGAGACCGATGCAAAAGATAATGAGGAGATTTATCAGATAAGACAGGAGTGGGCATTTTATTCATTAGATAAACCGCAGTTTCAAAAGCATAATCCCAAAAACGAGACGGAACAGAGGATCGAGCCATTAATGCTAGTCCCGTTTCAACAACATGCCTATGCTTACGTTCTACCCTGCCATTTTGTTCATGAGTATACGCACATGATTGCCTGTGACGAATACCTAAGGACGCAAGAGTGGAACCAAGCTTTTTATATTCTCCCCCTAAATCAGATTGAAAAGAAATAATCTTGCGAGAAAATGAACGTTCAACTAGTGAACGAAACTTATCAAATATAGCATACAAATAAGATTTAGCACGCCTGGGATAATACCACATATAACGAGTGTAATCATCCACAAACAACACAAAATATTTAAAGCCAGACGCAGAAAGTAATGGCGCAGGGCCCCAAATATCTGAATAAATTAATTCCAAAGGATGCGTACTAGTAGTTTCGACACGAGACAAAGGAAAACGAGAAGATTTTTCTAATTGACAAGAGGAACAGACATTGGGAAGATCACTAGAATTAAATGTACCAACAGACGAAGACGCTAAAATTTTACGCAAGACTCGAGAATGAGGATGCCCCAACCGCATGTGCCAAACGTAAGAGGACCGTGCAGCAACAAATGCAGCAGGGGAAGCAGAAGACGCAGGCCATGTGTAGAGACCCCCAAACGCATGTCCCTTAAAAATAACCTTCTTGGTCAAAATGTCTTTCACATAGAAACAAAGAGGGTGGAACTTAAAGAAAACATTATTGTCCTTTGCAAAACGCTGGACAGATAATAGAGAAGAAGAGAGACCAGGGACATGCAAAACATCATGTAACTTAAAAGACATAGAATCAGTGGCTAACGAAGCAGAACCAACATTAACAATAGGCAAGCCTGTACCATTGCCGACTCGCAGAGTCTCCGGGCCATCATAACTTGTCGCATAAGTCATCAAAGAAGAATCAGGCGTTGCATGATTTGTAGCACCAGTGTCAGGGAACCACTGATGAGGACCGTTGGAATCACCATTATCACCAGAGACGGCCACATTAGCCAGAAAACCTAGAGCCCCTGAATAACGCCGAAAAAAGTTGGCTCCCGTGTGACCAAAACGGTTACAAATTTGACACGGATCATCATAGCGCCAAAAACAATTGGCTCCCGTGTGACCAAAACGTTCACAAATTTGACACGGATCATCATAACGCCAAACACAATTGGCTCCCGTGTGGCCGAAACCTTTACAAATTTGACAGGGATCATCAACGTCACGTCGTTGACCGGACCACTTCTGATACGATGTATCTTGGTTTGATGCCATCGGCTACTGCTACGAAGTGAGGAACATGGATGTTGGAAAAGAAAACCCTGGCTAACTGATACCAGATGAGAATATAATTGTGTTGTATTCAATCATAATGTCTGAGAGTACAGGGAGCGAATATATAGAGATGCTAGATAGAATCCTAGTCTAACACGAATAATATAGTCCTAGTCTAATATGGATAATAGAGTCCTAATAGTCCTAATAAGGTCAAAGTACCTATGAAGTCCTTGTACTATAGTGTTTTGTTCAATTTAGTCCCTCTACTTTAAAAAGTGGTGAAACTAAGAACAATTGTCCAAATCTCATTAGGAACATGTTTGTAACTATTTATATTAGAACATATTAATTTAATATATTGGTGGTAAAAAAAATAATTTTAAATATTTATAAAGTAATAAATGGTATACCTCCTTTAAAAAAAAAAAAGTAATAGATGGTATACCTAGTTTAATAAATCATTTAAACCTTGGAATAGTAAAAACAAAGGTTTTGGGCATGATCCTAGGGATGACAATTCAACCCGCCCTCGACGGAGAAAACTGATCCCAGTCCCGACGGGGCGGGTTCGGTGATTTTTTCGGGGAGCGGGGATGGGGGAATGGAAATTTTTTCATATGTGTTGTTGTGTCATATCTTGAATTTGATAGTGCAAGATGGGTTAAAAGTTATGGGGAATGGATTGGAAAGAGT